ACTTTTTAAGAAACTGTTTGAAAAATGCTGCACTAAAAGAGATCCGTTTGGTTCGATGCAAATCTTTCTGCGCCCGAGAGGAACTGTGAGAAAGGCAAACAAAACGTTCTCTATTTCAAACTTATAGGTTTAATTTGCATGTATTAAGGAATTTTGAGCACAAATATTCTCACGTTCAGATGTTTTTTGAAACTTTTCAAGTAGTTAGACTACGACGAACTAGAAGCTTTGGTCATGTAACACGCCCTGACCATTTTATAGTGATATTGTTCCATGTGCAGTATTAGTTAGATTTGAAGTCAGATCGTGCCACGATAATTATTATGGTCAGTTCGTTCCACTTATGAATACAGTAGTTAGTTAAAGATCCTTGAAAACAGATTGATCCACAAGGGAAATTCAGTTGTAAGTTTTGAGTACTGCTCTCGTCATTGATTGATTGGAATGACATGAGGTGCAAGGTCTCAAGTAATGAATAGCAAAGCCTCTGTTCCTTGTCAGTTCCTGCCAAATGTACCCATTATCGCTTAGCAATAGCCTGCGTTAGTATCAGATCACATGAGGTCTGTGAGACCTATGGTGATCTTTTGTGAACTGCCCTCTGATGTCATTTCCATTTTCAACACTTGCATCTCTTCTCTTGACCTGCTAATTGTTACTAGTCTTTCAACCTTTTATTTTGCTGTTTACACAGTAATCCAAAGAACTTTACCCCACCAGTTTGCCATGTTCCCTCTGTGGATAATCCAGTGGTACCAATATTGTACTCCTTCATGTACATACTCAATAACTCATGGATTTGCCTGGCATAAGGATTATGCCCATAGAAAAATCCTGACAATTCAGTCGTGGGTATATTGCCCAATTGATGCACCGTTTGTCAAAGGCTAAATTCTGTTGCAAGGCAGCAGTAGTTTTCTTATAATCCCAAGTTTGTTAATAATTTATGAAAACAATGCAGTAATAAATATTTTTATACTTTATTTTCATAGGTTGTATCTTGAGCATTGTTTTGTTGCTAAGAACATGAATCATGTACTCCACAAGTATTGAGTGTTTTAGTCAAGCTGGAAGTTTGCCAGGAAATTTATCTCAGCCTGGAAAACAGACTACTGATTGTAACCAGGAAGAAAATTGCTTTAGTCTGAATGGAGATCCCCAAAAAGATATGAAAATGCAAATGATAGAAAAGCCATTGGAATGCGACCAGTGTCACAAGTGTTTTAGTGATATGACAAGCCTTTGCTCACATAAAAGAACACATGCGGGAAAAAAGCTTTTTGTATGTTGCAAGTGTAACAAGAGTTATAAATCATCAAGATATCTTCGCAGACATGAAATGTTCCATGAAGGAGAGAGGCTTTTAAGTTTTGCATGCAACCAGTGCAACAAGTGTTTTGTATGGCCAGAAGATCTTCAGAGGCATAAAAGAACACATTTAGGATTGAAACCTTATGCGTGCAACCTTTGCGAGAAGTGTTATAGTTTCTCCTGGGATCTTAAAAGGCACCAACGAACACATACAGGCGAGAAGCCCTACAGATGCAGCCAATGTGATAAGTGTTTTACTTATTCAAGGGTTTTGTTGAGACATACAAGAACTCATACAGGGGTGAAGCCTTACAAATGTAACCAGTGTGGCAAGTGTTTCAGTCATTCAGGAGGTCTCAAAAGACATGGAAGAACGCATACAGGAGAGAGACCTTTTAAATGTGACCACTGCGGCAAATGTTACAGTTCAAAACACTGTGTGAAAAGTCATCAAAGATCAAAGCATGCTACAGTCATGGCTACTGCTGCAACTTCTTAGTGTCAACAAATGTCAGTAGTGATTTCATGTGAAAATTGCTTTAATAATTTTTATCTAATGAAGATTACAAAATGCTGTTACTTAATAAGGAACTTTAGCTATTACCTCAGTAGAGGAGTCAAATAGTAACTGCAAAATAAATCAATCAGTAAGTCAATAATGGCAGGGTTTGGCCTGTAAAAGTTAATGTTTGGGGCCATGTTCTTAATAAAGAGGAACCAGAAGCAAATTTGTGCATTTATATTCTCTAATCTCTTTACCTTGGAACATGGCTTGAACTCAAAAAATAGATTTCTGACCCTTATTACTGGTCCAATATTCTCCAAGTATTGGTCAGGGCACTGTTCTGCACAATCACTCTTGAAGATTTTCTGACAGCGTTTTGGCTTATGTTTCTGAAAGACCTTGCTTTCACATAAAATAATCCCTTTCTTTTTCTTTCATCTCTTTTCCCCTTTAGTTTTGTTTAATCAGAATTGGGTGCATGAAGTTTGGATGATTTTTAGGGTATGGTTGTGGCATCTTTTCTAAGAATTTACAGTCATGCAATAAATCACGTGTTAACTAAGCTTGCTCAGGAGCATACTGGGAGAATATATTCTAGAAGTACTGACCTCATGATTGGTTAATAAGATACAATGTATCTCACTGGTAATTAAACAAACATGTCTCACTTGGTGGCAAGCAGAATTTTGGTTTGCCAACAAGACAAATCATTTGCATTTCGCAAATGTGCTATAGTGTAAGTTTGGGTCAATAAAGGAATGGATTTATTACATGGAACACTATTTCTTGTGGGACACAGCAGGTAATCCAGAGCTGGCAAGACAGCGCCATTCTGCCCACTCACGGAGCTACATGTAGCTGTACAATAAAAAATAAAACAAAAAGTTGTCAGTAGTTCATGCTCTCAGTGGGCAGGAATTTGAAAATATTTAGATTGAGACCAACCCTATTCTCTATTTTCCAATTCCCGATAATTCACTGTGTTTGCTGTGTTATGACATTTTTGCTCGGGCATGCGCACAAATCAAAATTTTGAAGTGACCTACGTCTTTAGGCTTTTTGCCTGTGTGTTATTATTTTGGGGGGGGGGTGGGGTGTTGGGGGAGGGGGAAGCCTTTCCTTTTTCTCTTTTTCTTATCTTTTTGCTGCAGTTGTTGACCTTCTACTGGGCTTGGTTCCAGTTCAAGAATTCCCGAGAAAGCATACTCGAGACGGGAAATTCTTACCAGGGGGTAGCCAAGTGTCGTTGAGGGAAATTTTGTTCTGAGTTGCTCAAATTTCTCAGAATTTTCGCGCATATTTCACGTTCAACTGAGTCAATCACTCTGATCTGAGTATCATTGAAAAGATCTTCTCCTTCTGTAGAACTTGAGTGTAAGTGATGCAAGTTTTGGTCAAGGGTGATAAGGTCAGAAGTGGAACAAAGGCCAAGGCTCGTCACGGACAGTTACGGGTGGCACGGGAGTCAATGGGTTAAGAGGCTGCTTAATATACTAGTTTTGTGAAATGTTATTTTTAAGAGAGGATTTTGTTTCGTATTGTTATTTGTCTAATATAAACTAATGCAAAGCAACCTCTTTAAACACCTAAAAGAAATACATTAATAATACTTATACCCGAGGCTATTGTAAAGTATAAACCATGATTATAGTTTTTAAGCCTAGGTAGGGAATTCTTTTGGTCATTCAAGTCAGTTCAGCTTATCTTCTTCAAGAATTCTGTTAATTATGCTCTGCCAATTGCTAATTGTATCAGCAGACTGAGTCCGCGAGACGCTATTGTATAGCAAAGAGAGTGCGCGAGACATTAACGCAACAATGTAACAATAAGACAATGTCCGAGACACTAAACAAACACAAACGACCAGAGAGCGGAACTTATTAATGCAACTGAACTGTGCACGAAACACACATACCGTAAATCCTCGAATAAGCGCCCCCACCCCCTCAAATAAGCGCCTCCTTCGAATAAGCGGCCCTCCTAGCGGCCAGAATTTAAAATAAGTACCTCCCCTTGAATCCCCCCCCCCNGCAAAGGATGTATAGTTTTGGTCGTGTTCAATCACAAGCAAGTGATTATCGACTCATTCAAGTACTGCATATTGACCGTCGCAACGGGTGGTAGTGAAGATCTGCAGATTCATGAACCAAAGCCCAACCAACCTTGTGAATCAGGTCTAGACGGGATGAAGGGGTTATCCTACGTAGTTATTTCAAGAGAGACAGGATCCTTCTGAGATTTCTGAGGGACTGAAATATTTATATATTTCAAAAAAACCCGATCATAACTGACCACTATTTGGGAAAAATTAAATAAGCCTCTTCTTCTTCTAAAATTGAAATAAGCGCCTCGGGCGCTAATTCGAGGTTTTACGGTATCAATTAAACGTAAAACAAACAGTGCACCGAAATCAGGCTGCAGAAAGTAATCATCAGACGGGAATTAGTCCGGTTAAATGAAGTGACAAAGCCCATGTAAACGACGTGAATTATTTTCAGCCCGGGGTGAAAAGTGAGCTTGACCATGCCCAGTGATTGTGATTTCAGTGAAACCAATAGCTCACGCGTTTTTGGCTGTGACCAAACACCCCACTCAGGAAGAAAACAGAAAATTCTGGTTCCAGTTTGATTGTGCGCATGCATTCAAGTTCAATGGTGTTTGAACATATATAGGGAGAGAGGTATCCGGCGCTGTGTCTTAGTGCTAACCCTTCTGATTTAACTCTTAATGCTACCAAAAGGATCTTGGCCTTTGGGAGCGAGATTGGTCGATCAATTCAAAACAAAGCAAAGAAGAAATAAAGGTCAGTCTTAACGATGCCAGAGGGAAGAACAAACTTTTCTTGCTGCAGTCAGACCTATAGATAACAGCCTTGTATATTGTAATTTTGACCCACAAAGCGGACATAGACGACTTAATTAATAGTTTCTACCCGCTAAAACCTTACAACCAATATATATCATTTAAGTCTATGGTAAAGCAAAGGTAAAGTCTGCATACGAGCCATGTGGCATAAAGCACGAAGTATTTCTATTCGAACCCGGGCCACTCATTCCGGAGTCGAGGGCCTAAAAAAGAAATGTTAACGCAGATACGTCACGGTTTGTGCGTTTGCAATCCGTGTTAATCTTCTCCATCCTTAACCATCCATAACCATCCTTGTTCCTTTATAGTTTATTATTATATAACTCTTTAGTGTTTTTCTATCTTAGTAAACTACTCTTTTCAGGTTTCCTTCAATTTAACGGTAATTTTGTACAACTAAAAAGCCGTGACTGAGCTCCTTTCATACATGTATGCGGACACCGGGAGACGAACCCGGGAAATTTGATTCAGGATACATTCACTAGCCCACTACACCATCGGTCCGCTGGCTTAACTCTTCATGGCTTTCAGTTAATAACTTGCCCTAGGAGCAACAGGTTAGCGCACCAAAGTGTTAGACTGAATGACCATCGAAATCAACATCCTGGTGAGATTTCGGTTTTCAGTCCTTCGTCCATCAACTTAAACAAGCCTCGGTTAGTGAAATTCATCTGACAAATCATACATACATACATACTTTAAAATATTGAACCTCCCCATTAGGATGTTTTGTGGAACAATAACATTAAAATTTCCAATAACAATAATAGTAATAAAATGGAAAATTTGCTCCTTTTATATGTTCTCCAAAATCATAGCAAGATAAAATACGACATTTACAAACACCTTTACCAACAACTGTTTGATCAGGATGTCCACAGCCAACATCTGTTTAATCTTCCTTGCCTCAAAAGCCGTATAAAAGCTTTCACGATGATTTGTATTTCAGTCACGCGATTACACTACCACGCTACATAGTCCGCATTTTACTCAGTGTATTACGTGGCTGGAATAACAACCTCTCACTGAAATAATCCGCTTGTCATGTCACGAATGAAAAGTAACTAGCTCGAACAATCTGGGAAACAACATGTAGGCAACTACATGTACATGTACGAACAAACACTCCCTCTTATATAATTAAACTGAAACCTTTGAACAATATACAATGTGAGAAAATCCACTAAAATACTTCAATATTTTTTTTCCAGCTGGAATTTCTGGTTTATGATGAATCACCCCACAGTTTAACACAACAAGGACGCAGCTCTCACAAAAGGGATGGGGAAAAAAAAGGCGTAACAACCTTCTGTTTGTAGTCATTGTGTCTGTGGACCCGTAAGCTTGATTACTTAAAGATCAATTCATGTGGATCTTTCTGTCACGTTTATGTCATCTGACTTAATAATCGATATGCAACCACTTTCCAAATAACTCTTGAATTCAGATGCTCCACAAATTTTCTTGTTTCCTTCTTTCGTCACCAGCTCGTCTCCCATGTGTGTTGCACCATGCCGCACAAGTTGATATTTCTGAGCAAAACACCTGCTGCACTGGTTACATGCAAATGGCTTCTCTCCTGTATGTGTTCGTTCATGATTCTGAAGATGTTTCTTCTGTCCAAAACGCTTGTTACACTGGCTGCATGAAAACGCTCTTTCACCTTCATGTATCACTTTCTTATGAACATGCAGGGACTGCTGCTGTCTATACCTCTTGCTACATTGGTCACAGGCAAAAGGCTTCTCCCCAGAATGTATCTTTTCATGGTTGTGAAGAACTCCTGATTGCCTGAAGGCCTTGCCACACTGTTTACATTTGAAAGGCCTGTCTGCTGAATGTGTTCTTTTATGTGTGTGAAGAGTCCTGGAATAACGAAAATATTTATCACAGGTAGTGCACTTGAAAGGCCTCGCTCCTGTATGTGTTCTTTTATGGTTCTCTAGATCCCACGACAGAGTAAATCTCCGATCACACTGGTTGCATGCGAAAGGTTTCTCTCCAGTGTGCACTAAGTTATGTCGCTTGAGTGTTGCCATCGCTCTGAATGACTTGCCACATTGACCACATGTATAAGGTTTTTCTCCTGTGTGTATTTTTGTATGTTTATGAAGACTACCTTTAGAACTATAAAACTTGTGACACTGTTCACATTTAAACGGCGTCTCCTGAACTTGTGGTGTTGTATTTGAGCAGTGTTTTTTATCTCCACCACTTGCCATGATGGCTGATTTTAAAACTATGGGATTCAAAGGTTCTTCCAGCTTCCTAGGTTAACTACAAACACTTTTACTCAAAGGTCACATCTCCAAGCGATGCAGCTTTGCAAAACCTTTGAAGAAAAACAACAAAATTTAAACAAAAATCAACATCTGAACATGTACAAATTATGGGCAATAGATGATCAAAACTGCTAGTTTCTACATGCGCCAGTAAAAAACTAAGTCTGTGAGAGGCCAGTTTCCTATACCGCCAGAGCTTATCCTGGTTTCTGTAGTATAAAGTGGCTAGGGGTATTTCTCCTCCCACCGCTGAATGGGATCCTAGTCCATCACAGAATTTATCCCTCCCCCGTCCCCTCCACCTTCCAGCATTAAATTTGGCAGTATGCATTTATACACCTGGAGGGAGAGAGGCACAGTGTCTTCCCCAAGAACACAACACAATGGCAGAGGCTAGGGTTTGATCCTAGATCCCTCGATCCGGAGTACAGCGTCCTAACCGCTAACGGCACCGTGTCACCAAAACATGCTTCTGTTCAGCAGACAACACAAAAACTAACCAATTATTTTACGTTTACCTAATAACACAAAGGACTACTGCTGCAAATAAACAAACAAACAAACAAACAAACAAATCAATCAATCAATCAATCAATAAATATATTAAGTAAAAACATAAAAAAGAAAAAGAAAAAAAGGCTGCCAATCAAGGCCTATGATTCTGACATCCTGTCCTTCCAGGGGTGTCATTAACATTTTCAGCAGGAGGGTAACTGGTTTTCACAGGCAGGCAAAACTTTTTGAACTCAACTGCTTTTTACAAAAAAAAAACTTTCCTCTAGATGGTCAAACTAGGCAGGCAGGCAGGCAAAATGTTGTCTGCATGTAGTAGGTCAATTTGCCCAGTACCCATCCCTTATTGAAACCCTGCCTGTCTATAACTCTTTGTGAAAGAGCTGTTACTTTGAAGTACTGTTGAGAGCTATGCTAACTGATGAAGAGTTATCTCAGGCTGAAATACAACATAAAGTGGCCTAACTTGTCAATCTGACCCATCTCCAATTGTCCCTTAGATCAAATATTGACAAGGAAGTGCCGTAAGCACAAGCATGAAGGATGATTCTCACTTTATCCTCTTCCTCCTTCACACAATCCCCTCTACATCCCTCAGAGTTTCATCCAATTTTTCTCAACTCTCGCCGGCTTTCTTTCAGGACACAAGAGCAACTGAGAATACATCAGTCTCTGAATAATGAATGAAATTATCGACAAGATATCCATTGGTAGGTTCCATAGCAACAAATGTCAGGTATATTTTAATACTATGCTCCTGATGACTTGTTATGATCTGAGCTATTGATGATAACTAAATGTGGGAGCAGAGATTGGAGATTGGATTTCTGTATACTCAGTCTGGTTAATAGAGACAAATTGTAATAATTTGC